TTGTTAGAAAAACTATGCATTTAAGATCGAAAACCTCAAAAGATAATGCACTTTTAAACTTACTTGCCTTTCTGAATTCAGTTTCAAAGTAATGTAATAAGGGATATAGTAAACTTATTAGCAAAAACGATTTACAGGTAAATAAAACGGCTGTTTTTTTAACTTTGTAGTTTTAATTAAAAATATCCTAACTTCCGCTAGGTGGAAACAAACGAATACTTTTTTTTAGTAACTAAGAGTTACCATTGAACGGAAATGAATGAATTTATACTCTAAAGCATGCCAGATAATCAAAAAGGGTGAGTTTGTATTTTGTTTTAGTCATTGAAAATTAGATTAAGCACTAAAATGTTTATTGACCATAAAACATGAATATTGAATTCAGCTTAAAATGGCTGACACAAATATTCGACATAGTCATAAAAATACCATCCAGTAATTGAAGTTGTGGCATTGTTTGCTGAAAGTTTGAAACTGAGTAAACTGTAACGAATGCTAACACTAATATAGTGGAATATGTAAACGATCTATACAGCCACAAGTCTAATGTTGTATAGTAAAACTTTAACTTCAAATTAAAGTGTGTGTTTACATAAACTCATTATTAAGTTTATCTAAATAATTTACGTTAATTTTCAAGTATAAACTCTACTGTACTCATTTTCTATAATATAGAATGAGTACAATGTAGTTAGAAACAAAACTAAATTGTATTTCCATAAATTTGCTTTAGCTTTTACTGTGTCGTTTTCCTAAGACAGTAGTTGAGAGGACACAAGGGGCACATTTGAAAATTTAACAATTATAAGTACCATGACATTTTGGTTTATTCAACGTGACTAAATCTGGAACAATTTGTTGGAATTTCCAAGATGGTCGTCAGTCAGGCAAAAGAAAAAAACTTTAATTAGAATAGGAATTTGCACAATGTTGGAAGATAAATACCATAAAACAAAGTTACTGTAAAAACATAATCTTAAGTGAAAGCATTTATTTTATCTAGTAACCTTTAAAGCAATTGATCTACGTTAGGTGTAACGATGGTTAGTTGCTTGAAATGTTGGTAGATAAAATAAATTTGTTTTTACTGTGATTTTATTCTAAAAGAAAAAAAGGTGTCACTCCCCTCATAAAAGCTGCCTTATTGCATTTTTTTCAATCTCAGCACTCCTTTGGAGCAATGAGTGTGTTGAGCCAACATTGTTACAACATCAGTAGTAAACAAACATAAAAATTGACTTTAGGAACAGGGCGTGGTAATGCTGAATTGAGATTTGGAATGTGCCCAAGTTTAATATTTAGAAAAGGCGGGCTACACTCTAGTTGAGACAACTTTATTTTTCTAACAAGGTGGTTGTCTGTCTTGTAAAGTGAGTTTCTGTTGGCAGTACTGGAGACTGGCTATTTTACAGGAGTTTAAGAGGGAAATCAAAGATTTCTGAAAATAGAGAGTGGGATTAAGTTTTTACTTCTCTCAAAGGTGCATGTGCAAGAACTGTCTTGAAGAACCAGGTAGTCTTTTGTTGTCCATATGCTAAGTGTTCAAAAGTTCTGTCCAATGGCATAATCCCTGATTACTACTCATGTTAGTGTTATATCTTTGAATTAATGATTTCTTCAAATGATATCACTGCACAAATTTAAAGAAACATTTGAAATACTTTTAGTTTTTATTGCCAGCTTGTTTTTTTTTCTCCAACATAATTTTTCTAGGTACTGTACACATTAATTAGGTTAAAACAAAAGTAGAAAATCCAAAATGAATTGTGAGAAACAGTTGACTGATAATGGTAAAACTGGCAGCACAGCAAGGATTTTTTTAAATATGTTAAAAAGTAAGCAAATTGGAGAATGCCTAATTAAAGGATGTTGATGGCAAGGTTTTTTGTTGAAGATTGTGAGATGTATGAACTTTATGTTATCTTCAGTCTTAATTTGAAGCATATAGACTGGGAGACAGGTTTTTATAAACCATTCAGGGTGATTTTCTTCACCAGTTGGTAAGGGAGCCTACTAGGACAGTGCTCTTGTATATCAGGGATAAAAATAATGAAATAAAATTACATTCACTCGAGGGAAAGCTATCAGGAAGAATACATTCTCTCATGTAAAGTTGCTTTTCTTCATGAAATGATTTTTTACTTAATCCATGCAACATGTTCCCTTTCATTGGTCATAACTAAAGGAATGTGGATGGACCATGCATTCCTGATTGGGAAAGTTGACTAAAAACATGAAATTCCTCAGGAATGTAATATTTCAATCCCTGTATATTTATTGTTAACTTTTAATATAAAAATGGTTAACAAGGTGGAGATTGGGTAAGATATGCATGTGGGGATCAAGAGTAATGAAATTTTGGTTATAAGTTTAAAAAAGAGCAAATTTTGAAAAGATGCGACACAAATTATCTACTGTGAATTTGTTTTTCATTTGATTAAAGTTTAGTGGATGGAACAATCTAGATGGACCAATAGGTCCCTTGTCCTTAAATGTTGTCTTTTTTTTTATATACAAAAGAAGATATTAGTAATATAGCATTCAATGGGACATATTGAAATTTACCCAAATCATTCAAATATTAATCCCTTGATGATAAGTAGAGAGACCGAGAGATTAAAAATAAAGCATCAGGACATAAGGTCTTTCCAGTGGCTTTAAAGGAGATCAGTAGACAGTGAGCAGGTGCGTGAGAATTGTAGAGTTGTTAATATTATTCTTGTATTTAAAGTTGATGGTAAGAGCTGATATGGAATTTACAATAAACATAGCATACGGACAACAAAGTACCATTTAGGATATCAAGGCTGTCCTTTCACACTCACCTCTCAGGAATGTATAAATTTAAATGTATCCTTTACTACTCAGGAGCTCACTGACTCTTTTGTAAAACTTCTATATAATGCCGTTCTCTGTTACTACCAACAGCAACTCATTAAGGCCTTAACTGGAATCTAGCCTGTATTTTTAAAATTTGTGTCCTTCTGGCCTATTATCTTCAGAATATAGCAAAAATAAATCACAGATCTTTATCCTATTGATCTCATAGATAATCATGTAAATATATATAACATCACCTCTTACTATTTTTTTCTCAAGAGAAAATAAGATATCTTAACCTATGTATAAGATGACACTACTATCTGCAAAACTATGTTACTCACACCAGAAGCAGCAGCATTCTTTCCATTAATTGTGATGAGTTTTTTTTTTTTGTGGTGGCAAGCGAAAGCAGATGAGGTATGACCAGTAGGTTGTTTGCAAAGTCTTTTGCCCCACCAAAGTGGTCTGTTGATGAAAAAAGTTTGAAAACAAATGTATTAGTGGACATCAAAATAGACATTTTAATTCTATTTGTAAAAGTTTAAAGTAAGAAATGAGGAGTAGATCTAGCCCTGCATTATGAGTGGTCCACTATATATGGGGAATTTGTGTGTATTGATTTTTATGTTTACATTCTGCTTCATTTTAACTTGCATAAATCAAGTATATTTAAGAAATATTTGAAGTGGAACTGATTAATTCACCTGATGTGGTGACTTTCTGAATAAACAAAATATCGAGACAATGATTGTATAATAAGCACTGTTTTTAAGACAAAGTACGACAAAGGATAACTATTTTCAATATCAGTACTGAAATTGCTGGGTTTTCTGACCAGTTTATGTGAACAGAATTGAACTGGTTTGGGTCAGTGCCTGAAAATGAACTTTTGTTATTGAATGTAAACATAAATTATGAAACTGGCTATTGTTAATGAAACAAGAATAGAGAGACAACAGAGATAGAGAAAGCTGTTCAACCCACAAATTACCAAAATTTCAAATCTATATTAACACATACAATGCTGCCTCAGACATCGATACCCATGCCATGTGCAATTGATTAGGAGCGTTCTAGTAATGTAAAATAATATTGTATAGAATATTTATGGATATATGTGCTTATTCAACTAAAGTCTGTACCATGATACACATGAGCATCATCAGCACTGCAGCTAAAATGATTTTATGAGTGTCACATGATGCATATGTGCATCATCTATTTTAGGTATCTTGTTGTGGTTTATGAACGTGTTAAAGGTAGCCTTTCCATCCATTTATATCTGTCCAACAAAAGTTTGAAATAATTCAAAGTAAGGCACATGTCACATCATCATACAAAGCATTCTAGGAATTTGTAACTAACCGAAAAATAATTTTATCAAAGATTGCATTAGCATCTGGTCTTCAGAGTTTAAATCTATTGACCCTAAAGCTCAAGGTGATATTTCCAATAAATTTTATTCTCGAGTTGTGTGGAATTACATAACCTAAAGGCTTCCCTTTTTTAATGAACAGAATAGTGTAAAAGAGTGTTTTTTTTAAGATAAAATGGGAAAATGAATATTGCTATTGAGTGTAAGAATTAATCAGATAACGTAAGGCTTTCCAATTTTAATTTAATCAGTTATTCATTTATCCCACAGAATTGTCATTGGTTTGTTCTTCCAAGAAAATCAAGAACTTATTTTAAATATATACATTACTTTATGAATAAATCTACTTGTAAAGTTAACAAAACAAATTGTTATAATAAGATTATAGCTTCCAGGTGTGAAAACTGTACCTTGATTCATTTAATCATTACTTGTTAACAGTGAACCGAGATTCTAGCAGATGGTTTGTGTTTCCATCTGATCACTCCCAAAAGAAGAGGATCAAGTAAACAAAGCTGATTTCATGGTCTAGGAAAAAGCAGGAAGCATACATGTATTTGTAGTTTTTCTATGCATGATTCACAGTATGACAGTATCATTCCTTCTTGTATATTAAAATCACAGTTGAATACAGTATTCTAATTGTGAGCTATAAATAACAATTATATATCAAACTATTAAATGATGGTTGGACGAAAGAAAGCCAAAAGTTGTTATTAATGAAGTCCAGTTAAACTGGACCCTTGTTACCAATGGAGTGTCTTGGGGTTCAGTGTTGTTTTATGTTATTATTATTGTTTATATTAATGAAATTGACAGTGGGGAAATTAGTACATTGGTACTGTTTGTGGATAATGTTAAGTCCTTGCTTATTTTTAGCTGTATTAAGGATGTTAAAGTACTACAGAATAATGGATTAGTAGATATGTTAGACAAATATTTGGCAAATGAGCTTTGATTATAGTGTAGGGCAATGTTTGTAGGTTATAATTTGGGTCACACATTTGATGTAGATGGAAACCCACTCATTAGCATTACTGAAGAAATGTATCTTGACATAATGATAGATAAGTCACTTAAGCCATTTTGGGAGTTCTCTATGAGTAGTAGCAAAACTAATAAAGTACTTATAGTGATATTGATTATAAGACTTGGAATCAAATGAAGTAATTATTTTTCTTTACAAATCATTAGTTAGGACTCACTTGGAATACAGTGTACAGTTTTTGTCTCCTTATCTAAAAAAATATATTGTCTTATTGGAAAAGGTTCAGAGGAAGGCTATAAGGATAATTTTGGGAATGGAATGGTTATCTTATAAGGATAGGTTAAGATATATTTGAGCTATTTTCTCTTGAGAAAAAAAAGGTGGAGATGATCTTACTGAAATGTGGCAGATTATCTGGGTGTCACTTAAATATCCTCTGATTTCTTTGTGCTATGTTCTGATGACAATAGGATGAAAAAACACAAGCTTAATATTTGGAAAAGACAGGCTGAGCTCCAATTAAGACAATTTTAACTTTCTGACAATGTGATTGTCTTATGGAATGAGTTGCCATTGAATTTAGTTAGGGCTGGCACTTTACAAAGAGTATGAATAATAATGGATAGGTTTAAGTTCTTACTTGTTCTCATGTGTAGATTAGTGCTTTTAAATATTAGCAAGATTATTTCACTTGTTGAAATTATTGCTAAGTTAACTATATTAAAGTGAAATAATAAACATAGGTGATAAAAGTTGGAAATACAAATTTTTTATATCTATTAAAATAATTTTTTTTGTGTTTGAAGTTTAAAAACAGTCTTTGAGCAACTTATTCTTTTAAAAAAAGGTAAAATAGAAATATCGTATTACAAATTTTGTTTGAATATGTGTGCGTGTATTAATGTGTCCAGATTTTTTTTACGGTAACATTATGATTTTCTTTATACTGAAAAAGAAATTAGAGTATTGAAAATTGTCTTTGCATGCAAAAATATTACTTCCAAATTCACTTATTCTACTTTCAGCATTAGTTTAGACATTTGGGCCATAATTCAGCATTTTTTTTTCTATGAAGGAATTTGTTGCTAAGACTTATAAGTATTTTCAAAAGCCATAAACTGAAGATTTATATATATAGAGAGAGGGATGAGTACATTATATTAAAATTATCTTGGAACATCACCATATTGCCATGTTCAGTCATGTTTATCTAATTGCCATGCATCTCAACAATAACTCTGCTTTGGTTTTAATTGCAAAAGTCTGTCATATCCAAAGAACACCATTTTTCCATGCATACTTTCTATAAATCATGAGGACACTTAAGTCCCACCATCCATTTCAGTAACTTGATTAAACCAAAATCCATGGGTGATTTTACTGGTAAGGAATAGCAGGAATATTTGTTTCATTCATGGTCTATGTGATGGTTGAATGGGATGTACTTGGAAGCTTTATCTCTGTGAAACCATACACTGTTGGATTCATTTTCAGATAGAGACCCTTCTTGATATGTCACATACTGTTTAAGGAACACAGGGACAGAATATACCATTTATCTTTGTGTTAATGGATCATACCCCATTATAAGATATCACACTTACCATTAGCTGGAGTTCAACTTGTTGCAGGTATTTTACTATATGATCCTGGTGCCCCAAATTGATCCATATTCCATTGTTTTTGTTGTCATTAAGTAAAAGGTATATTCCCATCTTGTAAATTGTAAATTCACGATACGAAGCATTTCCTTATGATCTGAATGTGTGAATATTTTGCATCAAAAAGTTCTATTGTATACACTCTTCCCAAAATGTGATCAATTTTTGGTGGTATCATACCACCTATGAAATGCGTAACAGTATGAAAATATAATTCTGATACATGTTGTACCTCCACCACTTTATATCAACTGTGGTTGTCATGTGACTTGCTTATTTCCATATTCAAAATTATTTTAATACAGTGTTCTCAACCCTTCATTGATATATATAATTATTAAAAGACATATTTAAGAGGTGCTAAATGACTTTTTCCTAGGCTTTCTTGAAGTGATTAGAAGAATTAATAATTTATAAAAAATACCCCTTTTTGAAGAAAACAAAGCTTAACTTTTACACTAAATATATAATGTGTAATAATCTGTGTATTTTGGTATATTAGAACTATATTGCCCACAGAAAAAATTATTGGCCCTCATTTCACACGTTTCTTGCAAATCTAACCCGATTCTACTTCATTATCAAAACTCATGACTATAATATAGTGGTACGTGATGTTTTTGCTCTTTCAAACATATTTATTTTTCAAACCTATGAACAATGTTTGAATAAGTGGATATGTAAAATAATGGATGTGGTTTTGTATTTGCAACATAAAATCAAATGATTCACTTATCTGTAGTTGAGGAAATTTGGAAAATACTTCATGTGTCACAAGATTTCTATTTGTGGAAATAGAAATAATGTAGATGTCTTTATTTCTGATTGTATCAAACCTCTGGCTAAGCATTTGGATCTTTATAGAAAAGTAATTTAAAAGCGAACAACCTGTAAATTTGTATAAGACTCTGTGGGGTCTTTATTAAAGAAAATATAATGACAGGAAAGAGTGCGAAGATAGGTTACTGGAGTAATACATAGTGGAAAAATTGTAAAGCTCTAAAGTAAATATTTGAAACTTATACTTGTTTTTTTTTAGCATAGAAGAACTAGTGTTTGGGATATAATTATTATAAGAGGTTTGTTTGGATAAGAGAATGATGTAATTAAAAATGAAACATTTTAAAATATTTTAAGTAATAAATATAAGTTGTAAAAGCCCAGATTTCATAGAAATACTTCTCTGTTAGAAATTATGAAATTAACATATGGACAACAAGGGACCATTTGGTCTTTCAAGACTATTGTTGCACTTTTACGCTTGAGAAGAATGTTTTATTCTTGAACCCACTTTTTATTTTTCAAGAAATCATCATTTGTACTCTTAAACTCTTGCAAAGTTCTGGCCTTCACTACTGCTAATGGCAAATTATTCCATAAGCCAGCCATCCTGGTAGAAAAATATAAACTGTCTTAACTGGAGCCTAGCCTGTTTTTTCCAAAACTTGAACTGCCGTCCTCTCGTTCTATTATCTTCAGAATACAGCACAAAGAAATCAGAGTTCTTTATCCTGTTGGTTTCTCAGATAATCATGTAAACTTCAGTAACATTTCTTTGTTTGTTTCAAGGGAGAATAAGAGAGCTTAACCTATAAGATAATCCTTCCATGCTGGAAACATCTTAGTAGTCCACCTCTGTACCCTTTCCAATAAGTAAATATCCTTTTTGAGATACAAGAGACCAAAACTGCACACATTGTTCCAAGTAAGGCATAACTAGTCATTTGTACAGAGACTTTTGATTTGAAATCAATATGTTTATAAACACATTCTAAGATTCTATTAGCTTTACTACTAGCAATGAAAGCACTGCTTCCATGGCTTGAGTTATTATCCACCAATAAGATTTCTTCAGTCATGATATTGAGTACTACTACATTGAACATGTGCTCTGATTTATGATAACTGAAATGCACATTCTGTAATTAAAGGTCATATGCCAGATATTTACTCAACCTACCAATTGATCCAAGTCATTATTTATTACTTCAAATTCCTCTGTAGAATTAGAAATATCCAATAATTTAATTTAATTAGCACATTTTACTAATTTTTCCCCTTCAAATATTATTAAAGTAAATAAGAAAAAAGAAACACCCACGCAATTACCCCTGAGGCACTCTGCTAATAACAAGGGAAATAATTCCACCATCTTCAATAGAATCCTGAAGATGGTGGAATTATTTCTACTGAAACACGTAGAGTTTTAAGTTTCTTTTAAGTTGTATATTTTTAATTTTTACAAATAAATGATTGTGCAAGTACAAAACGTTGATTTTCGTTTTATTACTTTGATTAATATTTTTGCACAAAAACTGTCTGTTTTACGTAATGACACGTTTGTGTTTAGAAATCTGTCAAGGACATGCTATCATTGAGCGATTCTTTCAAAACACAGATTGGCTTTGTACTTTTAATTTTTCTGTTTGAGTTGTGTTACTTGAACATAATTCTAAACTAAATTTAGATTCTACGCCGAGGGTTCTATAAAACATGTTCGTAACAGTGAAATGTAATTCATAAAAGATAAAGCATGCACTTAAAAGTTTAAACTACATAACATTTTATTAAATATCAGGCCACTCTGTTGTAGATAACTATTGAACCAGTACAGGCTATTCATGTTCTAGCTTTAGTGACCCTATTTTTTACTTTTACCCATCTTAGTGAAAACACACTTGTGACCTTGATCTTTTGACTGACATTTGTACCAGCTGTAGAAATGTCAAACTATTCATGGATCAATTTATTGTCAAAATAACATTCTAATAGAAAATCACATTGTTACTCACTTTATCTTAATATAGAAGTGGTTACAATGTTTGATGTGATATTGTAGGCAATTCCACATTGTTACTCACAGTTAATAACAACGATAATGTTTGTTGACGTTAACAGAAGAGGTATCAGTTTTATGATGGGACATTCTTCATTTTAGTAATGTAAGCATCCCATTTCCACATTGTTACTCATGGTTAATAACAACGATGATGTTTGTTGACGTTAACAGAAGAGGTATCAGTTTTATGATGGGACATTCTTCATTTTAGTATTGTAAAATGAATTATAAATAATTAACATATTATTCTGTTACGTGATTAAGATTTTTGTTTGTACTTATTTCAATATGTGAGATTTTAAGATTAGCGTGAGTCATTGTTGGTAAAATTGATTATACATTTAAAACTGTTGTTTTTTTTTAGCCATAACGATATTAGGTAAAAAGTATTAGAAACTTTTTACCTTGTGTTTTTCTTTTACGTACCCACACGTGCAGTGGGACAACGTAATGTGTGCGTGTCTGGGATATTACTTTTCAGCACGCCCTTCCTTTTTTTTTGTTCTTCCTCGGTGCCAAAAATCGTTAGTTTTCCATCGAATCTCCAGGAAGTTTGTAAATAATTTCTATTTATTGAAAAACTAACTCCTTGCTTTTACCGATACCAGGTATATTGATCGTTATCTAAATTTTATTTTCCTAGTTTTGTACAAATACGTGTTCAGTTAGAAACAGCTGTCGTGGACAGATTGGCCTGGTGACATTTAAGAAGTGATCGTAGAGCTTCGCTGGTTTCAGATTAGATAGTTGATCTTATTAAGCACAAACTTTCCATGACCTGTTGTCAGTAGCAAGTCAACGATGAAAAGAATACAATATTTTTAATCTTGTTATGTACTAAAGCCTAAAGGAATCAAAAGGTTTATAACGATTTAGTTGCTCGATGACTCTCAAGTTCTGTGTTTTACAGAAAACATTCTGGCAATTTAATAATTGGTCACAGACTTACGCCAGTGACTAAGGTCGACTTTATTCTAATTATGACTGGTACACCGCTCACGTTGTGTTACTAATACCGCTTAGTAATAGTGGGTAGCAGTAAACCGATCTCTCTAGCTTGACCCACCGGCGGATATGACGTCGCCTGTGTATGATACTGCTAGTATTTCTTCTCGCCGAACCCGGGGGCAATAACACTATGTGGGAAATTCGTATTCTCCGGTGTGTGGCCCCCCTACATGTCACTTCCTTTCCAGCTGCTGGACGGTAAAACTATGAATTCCTTTGTTCGCTTTAAAAACGAGCGTATGTTTTCGTCTGCCACGGCTTTTGTAAGTATTGTCTATTATCGATCGAGAAGTCTCGCCATCCTTTATCTCACTTCTCAGCAGATGACTAAGGCGACAAAGTAGTATTGCTTCATTTCCTTTTTTCTCTTTGACGGTCAAAACATTTGTTACGTTAGTTTTGAACGTGTGCAGTTGTGGCTGATGAACTGTTTCTGTTAGTTGACGATAGAGCACGTATCTCTTATGGAAGCGAATTGTGACCGAACCGTTTTCTAATAATAAAAAAGTCATAGTTGATTGGCTTACATTGGTGAACTTGTTTATATGTACGACCTGAGACTATAATACTTTATCATTATGGTTCTCAGGTCTGAAAAAACTTCAAGCCAGTCCAAGCCTACTACTGGATCGTCTGTAGATAAGTCAAGTGGAAGTTCTGGTCCTTCTACCCCCCATCACAGTCATAGTGAGCTTAACCCCTCAGCTAATGGACAAGCCTGCAAGTATGGAGAACTGGTTATTCTTGGGTAAGTTATCTTGCTTTTAGTTTTAGTCAGTAAAACTGGGTTTGTCGTGTGCCTAGGGATATTGACAAATTTTAGTATAAGTATCTTGGAATGAAATTTAAAGAGTTGAAGAATATTATAACGTAGAAATATTAATAAACTTTCAAATTATGCTTAATGCTAGAATACATTGTTAGCTGTGCATGTCATCTTATGTTATTAATTGTCTGATTTCACTGTTCCAGTCTGTAAAGTTATTTAAAAAAATCACTTGGCAGAGAAAATTTAATATTATCTGTATACTTAAATGCAAACTTTCTAAACTAATCAAGCCAATCTAGCTCTTTTTATACCTTGCACTCATGTTAATCAGCTTTATTTTATATAAACTAGTAAATTATCCATGAAATTTCACTGGAAATAACAATTACACACAAAATAATAAATTGGCACACATGGTTAGAAATGGCCATTTATGTGTACTTGTTACTTTTTCAAGTACCTTTTTGCAGCCAATCTAGAGAGCTTACAGACCATTTCTTGATTCTTCCATTAGAGGGCTCCAACATCAAATTTTGAATGATCCTTTACGCTTCGAACTATCCTGGGAACCCCCTTTTGATCCATTATGAGGCTCAAATTTATGTTACCAAAATCTTAATTTAGATTATCATGTTGAATGATTCATTACATGGAATACCATTTTGCTAGGTGCAATCAATCTAGAGAACCCAAT